AACTCGATATCTCCTATCACACAAACTGATATCCTGTAAGTATACCAATCCTGTTTATATCCGAGATAAGCAGTTTCCGGACTAAATGATTTTTAATTCTATTTTTGTTTTATAATCTTCACGTGATGCTGTTGGAGGTAGTCGTCTTTTGATGAAGGAAGTGGTCGATTGGGACACAATCTGTTGGGTGTTTTTTTTACCCCTTAATCAAACGTTATTAGGAGACTACTTTCCTCATAATTTGCGCGTGCGTGACAAAATTAACGTAGTCTGCGAGAGTTTATGTGAAAATGCGCGTTTACTGCGTAAAGCGTAGGTAGTCGTTGGCGCCGTTGGCAAAAGTAAAAAAAAACAAACAAACACGAAGCTCCCACTTATTTATATTGATTGTATCTATATTTACAGTTCGAGATGATTTTTGTTTTGTTTTGTTTTAGCTGGTACATTAAGTAGTTGATTAAAATAAAATCCCAAAATGTTTAAACGGGAAATATAATAAATAATGCTGGTTTTCTTCTCAGACAGACTTATAAAAATCACGATTTTTGGGTACGAATATTTTATAAATTACAAATAATTTTTTGAAGAAATAACGACACTGGTGGCGTATATATAATTATTTATAAAACATTTTAATCAATAATTATTAACAAAATAATGAACAGGTAAAAAAGATCGTGCCATAAATTCCCTATTGTATATTTTCAAACAACACTCGCCGTCAAATGGACCCCATCAGTTCTCACAGTTACTACTTGTCACCCCTCTTCTTATTTTTTGCATCCTTCCTTTAAGTATTTGTGTACTTTAGGTGACTTTTAATAACGTATTATTTCTTTGTCAAATGTTTTGTTTCTGCTGGAAGTCGGATACGGTTTCAATGTCTTTGTGTCAAAATAAGGGATCCCACTTAAATTTCTTGTCCATTTCGAAACCGATCGTAAAATCCATTTTGTGTGTGTGTGTGAAGCGATTTAATGACATTTTTTGTCCATTTTGGATCAAGGTCTGTTGCTGCTTTGTCCACTTGAAGCAAAGTCTTCTGTTATTTTGTCCATTTTGGATCAAGGTCTGGTGCTGCTTTGTCCACTTGAAGCAAAGTCATCTGTTATTTTGTCCATTTTGGATCAAGGTCTGGTGCTGCTTTGTCCACTTGAAGCAAAGTCTTCTGTTATTTTGTCCATTTTGGATCAAGGTCTGGTGCTGCTTTGTCCACTTGAAGCAAAGTCTTCTGTTATTTTGTTCATTTTGCAGCAAGTTTTAAAGAATGTTTTGAAATTTTTAAATACAACATAATCGTGTATTAAACTAAACGTGAAATAACTCGGACCCCAGTTTTGTCAGTTCTCGTAACTTCACGCGCTATCTCGCGAAGTAAGAGCTCGAACATTGTTCACAATGATAAACGTGGGCACTTTTAATAACGACACTTCTTCTAGTGAGGCATCTACTATCACGCCCCTTTGAAAGTCGCGAATATTTTTGCTCTTATCTATTTTTTTTCACAGTAGCTGCGTGTGGATGAATCTCTGCATTTGTAGTAATAAGTGAAATCTTCTGATTTTAGTGATTTAACCGATTTACGTCGAACCAGAGTGACGTTTAATAAATTATGACTTAAAAGTCTCCAGTTAGTTTACTACAAATCGATCCTTCAAATACAATTCATATACAATATCTGATAGATTATGTAAATTAAGATTTCCTTTGGCGCCCTATGCATATAAATTGATTTATGGATGTCGGTAATCTTATACTACCATTCCATTCAGTACGACTTTTGTATTCTTAAAGTAGCTCAATAGAAATGAAAAGATGAAGACGTACAGTATTTTACACTTCGTTCAGATATCCTTGGTGAACGAGCAGACTAGGACAGTATTTTACACTTCGTTCAGATGTCCTTGTTGAACGAGCAGACTAGGACAGTATGTTACACTTCGTTCAGATATCCTTGGTGAACGAGCAGACTAGGACAGTATTTTACACTTCGTTCAGATGTCCTTGGTGAACGAGTAGACTAGGACAGTATGTTACACTTCGTTCAGATGTTCTTGGTGAACGAGCAGACTAGGACAGTATGTTACACTTCGTTCAGATGTTCTTGGTGAACGAGTAGACTAGGACAGTATGTTACACTTCGTTCAGATGTCCTTGGTGAACGAGTAGACTAGGACAGTATGTTACACTTCGTTCAGATGTCCTTGGTGAACGAGTAGACTAGGACAGTATTTTACACTTCGTTCAGATGTTCTTGGTGAACGAGTAGACTAGGACAGTATTTTACACTTCGTTCAGATGTCCTTGTTGAACGAGTAGACTAGGACAGTATTTTACACTTCGTTCAGATGTCCTTGTT